ATGGTGTGAAATTGTATAGCTAATTATAACCTATGGAAATAATCATTTCTCAATTAATTTGAAATGAAAATTTTATCCTAAATGGTTCTGTTTTTTGAGTTTTCTGTACGGTTGTAGTGAGCCACTTGTCTGTTCCTAACCAGTGTTGAATTATGTAAAATAGTTTGGCTTTATAGTATATTTTGATTTTTATAGTGCAAGGCCTCCCTCTTCAATTTTTTTCTTTAGTTTTTAATTTTTGTATTCTATGGTATCAATTTTTAAAATATCTATTAAATGTGTTTTTTTTAGATGAACTTTAGAACCACTTTATTAAGTTCAAAAATTAAAGCTTACTTAGTAATTCAAATTGTAATGTGCTTATAAATTAACTTGGGAAGATAATACCTTCTATGCAACAATATCGAGTCTTTTTGTCCAGAAACATGAAAAGTTCATTTAGTCAAGTCTTTCATATCATTCAGGAAAGTTTTATTGTTTTCTTCCTTTGGCTCTTGCACATTTTTTGTTAAATTATTTCTATATTTTTGGTTTAGTTTTGATAATATTTTGGTTGATTCCTTTCTTCTCTATTACCTAATTTAATTGGAAAATAGAAAAATTCTTGTTTTTCCATATTTATCTCCTACTTGGTCACCTTCTGAACTCGTATTATTTCTAAAAGTTTTTCATTTGGCTATTTTTTCTAAGTGAATAATGATATTTTTGTCTTTGTCTCTTCCTTTACAGCATTTATACCTTATTTTTGTTTGTTTTTTTCTGTTACATTACATTGGCTAGAACCTCCAGAAAATGATGAATAGTGTTAATGTTGGCAAGGATCTTCTTTTTTTTTTTTTAAACATTATTGCTATATTTCACCATTAAATTTGATGATTGCTTTTGTTTTTGGAGGATACTCTTTATCAAATTAAGTAAGTTTTCTTGTTTGTAGTTTATTAAAAGATACGTTTATCTTTTGTACATACATGACTGTGTGTGCATGGGTATGAATTTAACTTGTTTTTTAAATCAGGAGTAGCAGGGTTTTCTTATGCCTTTTCATCATTCTAGAAATATTTTCTTTGTTGTTGTCGTTAATTATTCTTCATCCTTTCTGTTCTTTTCCACATCTCACACTATACAGATGTTGAATATTCTAGATCATGTCCTTGATTGCTGTTGCAATCTTCTCTAATTTCCATCATTTTGTCTTAGGGTTTTACATTCAATGAGAGTGTTACAAGGGTTTTTCCACTTTGCAAATATTTTTTAGTAATATCATTCTACCGCTTTTTCCAGTGTAGTTTTTATTTCAGTAATGTTTTCATCCCTAAGAACCCCGTTTTTCTCTGAGCTGCTTTTTTTAATAGCACTTTGCTCTTGTGTATTATTGCAACATTCCTTCACTTATCACTGACTGTACTAACTGTAACTGTCCCAACTGTGAAATCTAATTCCCCATTTGCTCAGATTGCTGTCCTTTGTCTTCACTTTTGAGCTGTAAACTTTATGTTTTTGCCTATTTGTAGAAAGAGAAGCTAGATTTGATCAATCTACTTTTAGTAATTGTGTATATGTTTTTTCTGTTTCTTGTGAGGCCTTCCTTTCCAAAATTAATGAGGTGACTGTGGTCCAAAGGCAGACCTCATTTCTAAGCTGAGAGCAAAGAAGCAGTTACCTCCCTTGAGCAGGGTGGCTCTAGTGACCCTTGGGCTGTGTAGGCCCATATCATTCACCATGTTGTCAACACAAACCAAAGTCAAGTGAAACTTGGGATGAATGCTATACACTTTTTATATATTCTACACTGAGGGAGATCTTCACACTTGTTGATTTGTTCTCACTCTCCCACCCTTGCCAGGGAATCTTAGGCTGGCATCATTCAGAAATGGCTTTAATTGGAAATAATTAAGTAGAAACAGAGTAGGAGCCTAGAACCTTAGTTGATTTTCCCTCTGTGTTTATTGCAGCATTCCCAGTTAGCTGAGATACTGCTCTCCTTTCCTGATCTACTTGTTCTGTTAGGAGACCTACTAAACAATCTACTTTAATTAGCAGGCAGTGATCAAATATAGTCTAGATGATCATTGGCTGTGGTCATCTCTATTGATAGACATTGGCATGGTTCCCCAAGCTCTTTGATTTGCGTCTTCCCTTCTACCTCTTAGCACTTTGCCATTCTAGGCTTTGAAGTCTTTAGAACTCAAGTGGTAAAACAATCATATCTCTCAGGTAGGCCTATTCTTTGCATATGTTCAGTCATAAGCAATAAATTAAATAGCTTTTCTTTTGATCTCAACCTACTTTCTAGGAATTCCTCAAAGTTTATGATCCAGTGATATGCTTCTTAGTTTATCAGCGTTATTAAAAGTACATCTCTTGTTTATATGTTTTTTTTTTTTTTGTAATTTCAGTGGGATTTGTCAAAGGAGAAGGTAAATTGGTAGGCTTAATTCACTGCCTTGAAAGTAGAAGTTTGCGTCTATGTTTAAAGGATAATTAGAGGAAAAAACATGAGACAGTAGTAATATCCAACTGTATTAAGTGCTTCCTGTATATCCCAAATGATTTTATATGCTTGTATTTATTCATTTACTCTTCCCTCAAACACTGGGATGTTTAGGTACTATTACTATCCCCTCTTTACAAATGAGAAAACTGAAGCAATGAGTGATTATTCCTTTCAAAGAAATGACAAAGGGAAGATTTCAGCCCACAGGGGTGTGGCTTCAAAGTCTAAAAAGAAAATAAGGAAATGTTTTCAGTTTCTTTGAGAAATTTCTTGAGATGGAAAGGAGGAAAGTAATATCAAAGAATATTGAGTATTCATTTGAGAAATTTAATAAAAAGAGGGAAGAAAATGGACAAGAACTGAGGTGTAGCAAGAGGCGAAGGAAGATTTTATGTGTGTGTGAGAAAATATTTGAATGTTTATTGGATAATGGGGAAGTTCCAGTTGTGTGCACAAAATTGAAAAAGCAATGTTAAAATACTTAGTGGAGAACAATACTGTTGAAGGCAAGAAGAGATGTATTTTTGTGGTGCTGCAAGAGACAGTGTGGGAGCCTATGTTAAATTACCTGATTTTTAGCTAAGTAGTAGGTGGAAGTCATTTGTTAATGGGAGGTGGGGAGAATCATAGGAAGAGATGTAATTGGGTACAGAGAGAATAAGTTTTGGAATAAGTACTCTGGGAAATGAGATAGGAACTCAGTTTCTAATAATCATTGTTTGTTTTTTTTTTTCTAAGTCTTTCCACAGTCTTTACATATGTAAGCATTCTTTTTAAAAAAAACTTTTTTGTAGCGATGGTGTCTCACTATGTTGCCCAGGCTGATCTTGAGCTCCTGACCTCAAGTGATCCTCCCATCTTGGCCTCCCAGAGTACTGGGATTATAGGCATGAGCCACTGTGCCTGGCCTATGCATTCTTTATGTATGTAATATATAAAAGCTATAGTGGTATTTAGCGCATCAAATATTAGCATATTAAAGCTCCAAAAGTCCTCTAAGAAAGCATCTGTTTTGTATAACAGTTTTCATAATGTATTTTATTACTGAATATATTTTTCATTTTATACTTATTAATACAAAACTTGCTTTGGAATTATCCAGGGTTTTTTGTTGTTGTTGTTTTTTGAGATGGCGTCTAGCTCTGACAGGCTAGAGTGCAGTGGTGGTATCTTGGCTTACTGCAACCTCCACCTCCCGGGTTCAAGTGATTCTCCTGCCTCAGCCTCCTGAGTAGCTGGGAATACAGGCGCCTGCCACCATGCCTGGCTTATTTTTGTATTTTTAGTGGAGACGAGGTTTCACCATGTTGGCCAGGCTAGTCTCCAACTCCTGACCTCGTGATCCACCTGCCTCGGCCTCCCAACGTGCTGGGATTACAGGGGGGAGCCACTGCACCCAGGCTATCCAGTTTCATCTATTCCAGGGTGTTCTGATTTGGAGAGGAGAGAGCAACTTCGGGATAGGGGAACCAGAAGCTGCTACTCTTTTCGTATTACTTGAGTCACTCAAAGTTGGAGACATGTTATCAATTAGTAACAAAATTAGTAATAACTACCACTTACTGAGTACCAGTTTTATTCTTTATGTCTTGTATCTGTGTTTTGGTGGTTCCTCATAGACCTTATTATTTCTGTTAGGAAGAAACCCAGGCAAAAACAGATGAAATAATTTACCCAATTAACTGGTGAAGACATGATTGAAATACGGGTCTTTAAAAATATTTCAGAATCTGTGTTCTTTATAGTACAGCTTGTGTGTCTCATACTATCTTATAGTTTTCTTTCAATTGGTAGCATGAAAGAGTTTCATTATACCTAGAGTAGTTCTGGAACTTGGTATTATTTTCATTATCTCTGTTTATTCTACCATAAGTCATTTGTTTCTGTTTATATTAATTACAAGTATGATCACTCAAAGTGACCTAGTGAAAAATTTTCAGTGGTGTAGGTCATTATTTCCCTGGCTGTGTTCCAGAGAACATAGAGTGTTAGATATTCATAGGAATTCTAAAAACGGGAAGGGGGCTTATGGTAAAATAAATTTTGGAAACACTACACACTGTATATACTTGGAGAGTTTTGTACATACTAGCATCTTAAAGGCTATAATAAAGAAACCTATTTCCCAGCATTTCCTGAACTAATTTGACAATGAGATATTTTTTCGAGGAATTTGTGTTCACATCTCAAGTCATTAGCATTCATCAAAACCCAGTTCAGTAAATGCTAATATAGACTAAAAGTAAGCTTCTGTTTTGGCACATCCTGGTTAGCCTTTCATCAGCTAAGTGTGTTTCATTGCCAGAGCAACTTAAGGATTGTATTTGGAAGTATGCCAGATGCATACTTATTTAGTAGTAAGTATGCTAACCTTTAAATGGTGCCAATACATATTTTACTTCACATTGCTTTCCTGCCACTGTTTCATTTTAAGTACTGTATGCTTTTTAAATACACTTCGGTTAAGTCAGATATATTTGCATGGTTTTTATTCTTATCATTTTAGATATGGGAGAAGGGACTGCTATAAATGCAAGCGCAGATGGCAACATTGGAACGATAGAGGATGGTAGTGACAGTGAAAATATTCAAGCAAATGGAATTCCAGGAACACCAATTTCTGTTGCATATACACCATCCTTACCTGATGATAGATTGTCAGTCTCTTCCAATGATACTCAGGTATAAATGGAGGGGTGGGGAGGGGGAGAAATCCTGTTAATCTTACAAATTTATAGGCTGCCACCACCTTGTCATGAGTATTTTCAGCTGATGCTGCTGCCTGATTTTATTTAGTTTGGGGAAATAAGACAATTGGGTTTTTTTTTTTTCCTTCATTTATATAAATTACAGCGATTTTTTTCCCCTTCATATTTTGATAGTTATATTTCCAACTTTAAGGTATGTCTCATCTATATTTACATCTTCTCCACACCCATCTACGAATTGAATTAACATTTAATAAGAACATTCTTATTACATATTCACAAGATAATTCCGGAATGGGTGGAATATTCCTAATCTGAAATTCAAAATGCTCCAAATCCAAAACTTTTTGAGTGCCAAGATGACACTCAAAGGTCATACACAAAGGAAATGCTTATTGGAGAATTCCACATTTTGGATTTTGGGGTTAGTATGCTCAATCGGTAAAATGCAGATAGTCCAAAATCCAAAAAAATCTGAAACCCAAAACACTTCTGGTCCCAAGCATTTCAGGTAACTCAACCTGTGTTGCATGGTGAGAAAACTTTTAGAAATTTAGGGAACTTCACCTTAACCTTTGTTTAGGGCTGCAAAGAAATCAGTACCTTGGTAATGACAGGTTCTTTTCCTCCTTCCTACCCTATATTCTGTGTGTAAAAATCTGCCTTTTTAGGTAAAGGAGTCCTACACTAAGTGTCCCATATTTAGGAGTAGGTTTTCTTGACTTGGTTGACCTTCAGTTTATGTTTGCCCACAGTAAGACAAAAAATAAAATAGGACAAAAGCATGAAACAGTCAATGACAGGTAGTATGGAGTATAATTTAGTCTTTGGATAGGATCTTGTCAGGCATGATGTATCAGTTTTTTTGTCAGTAATAGTATGAGCTGGGTAAATTTTAAGAGTTTATTTGGTTTATTCATAAGGAATATTTTTAAAGTGCATTTTTAAAGGTATTTATTGTTGGGTGTGGTCCGTGGAGTATAAAAGAAAAACAATGTGGCAGATTCCCTCATCTGGTTCCCCTTCCAATAGTGGGGGAATCTCCACCTGTTAGTGAATTGAATGAAATACAGTAGAAGGCTGAAATGATTTTACACTGGCAAATATCTCTAAAATTTTCATGGTGTGTTAACTTGTTTAGGAATCTGGAAATTCTTCAGGACCTTCACCTGGTGCTAAGTTTTCCCATATTTTACAAAAGGATGCCTTTCTAGTATTCAGGTCATTGTGTAAACTGTCAATGAAACCACTGTCAGATGGACCGCCAGATCCAAAGTAAGTTATTAACTGTTTTGCCTGACAAATAGAGGTTTTTAGGCTTGAAAGTTACTGTTAAGGTAATGTTTGGATTTTCTTTTGTTCTTTTTGTCCTATAGAACCATAAAAAAAATTGGGTGGAGGGGAGGTATTTTACGTTTAAGAAAAAAGTATTGAAAAACAATTCAAAACTGCTGGAGTAGATAACTTACACTATTTCCTAAAGGGTATGTGACTTATACTATTTTCTAAAAACAAAAAGTTTCAACATTGCTGGAATAGATAACTTATGCTATTTCCTAAAGGGTATGACAGCATTCTAGAATAGTGCCTGGTGCATAGGAGGGGCTCAGTAAGTGTTATCAAATGAATGAATTAGTGAATTCTTATTTCCATATAAGTAACTTTGGAGCTAATGTAACCCTGTATCCCAGTCCTAGGTTTCTAAAAACTGCCAGTCAAAAGGTAATAAAACCTAAAAGATCTTAAAAGTTGTAATGAAAGATAATGCATATTCATTAAGGTCTGACAAAATGCCCTAGGATTATATCTTTCTCTATTGGGATCAGGAAGAACTTTGAGTTAGGAGCCACTTGTCTAATTTTCATGAAATATGTTAGATTAAACCCTAGGAAAGTGCCATTTTTGTAAGTCGTAAATGGTCAGGTATCTCTCATATGATTCAAATGTAACTAATTACTCTTGAGATTGAGTTTGGAAGTTATATGAGTTGCCCGCCTCTCTAATACTGCAGCATGATGTATTGCAGTATGACAATTTTAGAACTTTCTGGAGAAAGAAACCTTGGAGCAGACCATAACTTTAAGAAAGGGATATTGAAATAGAGATGTAAGGCAACAGTACTTCAATTAAAAAAAATTCTATAGAGTGTTTCAGTTTCTAAGTGCCAACTGAGCAGACCAGAGACAGTTGCTGTGAAAACTTCATACATATCTGGAAACTCCATTTGTTATATTTGTTTAATTTTGTCAGATTGTACCAGTTCAGGGAGAAACATCCTTTAGACCCAGAAGCCTAAAATCATAAAATCTCTTTTAAGACCCAAACCCTAAGTCAGAAATGAACATTCAAAAATCTCATTAAAAAATCGACAGTTTTGAATTTTAAAAAGTCTCATTCAAAAGTCAGCAGTTTTAACATCTCATTCTGAATCAGTGAAGACCTACTTTAAGAAAGAGATAAGATTTGGTATTATTGCTGAAGGCCATTTTTGCCATGCTTTAAAAATATTATTGACCATTAAAGCCTCAGATGCTTTTTTCCAAATCAAATGTAAAAATTGTGATTTGAAAGAATGCTAGAAACAGAAAAGAAGAAATTCTTTAAAATGCTGACAATGAAAAGGACACAAAGGAAAATAATATGAATTTTGAGGAGTACTTGGGGTAGGGAAGAGTTTATCCCCGAAAAAAGAGTGATCTGATTTTGAAAAGATGCAATCTTTAATGTTACAAAGGATTCTTAAGAGGAATAATGTAAATTAACAAGCCTTATACTTAGTGGGTTTAAACCAAATGTTAGGAAATTTTGTTTGAAGACCTTGTTGACTTGACTATCAGGGTCGTTAAACAATCGAATTGAATACTGAATACACCCTTAGAAGCTATTCTTTTTCCAAAAGAATATGTAGTTTTCTGTCTTTAATGATTTTTTTTTCTTTTTTGGCCAAAAGTCAAGCTTTTGTAGTTACATAATTTTCTTTTTTTTTTTTTTTTGTCTTTGCTCCCCTTTATATTTTCTGGTCTTGCTAAAATGATGATCCAGGAAATGTTCTTATTTAAGCCTGAATCATAATTTGAAACTACCCCATGAAAAACTGCAGACCTGATATTTCCAGACTCTTTTGCCTTTCAGAAGTATAACTTATTGTGTCATAAGACAGTTGTCTAATCATTTCTTCATTCATTATTGCCGTGTACACAGTAGGTATTTAATAAATGGATGAATACAAGAATAAATCCATTTTTTATAGCATGTACAGTATACAAGATATTTTATTAAATGTTGGGAATACAAATATAAAACATACTTAGACCAAACATTGTTATAGAATGGTAAGCTGCAGGATTTAATTACAATAGGAATTGAGCATAATAGGTGATAAATGTGAGCTAGAATAGGAAGTAGTATTTAAGCTTTGGAAGACTAGAACAGGGAGGGGAGATGGTGGGTTAATTTGTAGTTCCCTGTAGCTATTTGAAGTCTTAGTTCTTGCTGTCTCTAACTTGATTTGTCTAAGCATTTTTTTGGTAATTATGTATTTGCTGCACATATTTTTAGATTCAAAGGAAGATTCAGGGCAATGGCCATCTTAGAAACATGACTGTGTAATAATGAGCCATAATATTATTGGCTTCAGTTTTATTTCAGAGAAAGTAGTATTTTTTTGTGATACCCATTTACGTGAAATTAGCAATTCCTTATTAGATTTATGTAGCTTCTTGAATTACTTGACACTTACAACCATAAAATTTTTCAGGTGGAAATCAAGGGCAGTTAAGTTTACTATATAGTGTAAATATGACTGAAAGTAGCATTTGGGCTACTTTTTTTTTTTTTTTTTTTTGAAAAAGAACCATCTGCTAGAGCATTTTGGTGTGTTCTGCATTTGAAATGTTGCCTAGGATCAATGTCCTTGGTCTGTTGGGCTTAAGAGATCAGTTTCAATGGAAGGAAAATTGTGTTTGCAAAATCAAATAATTAAAACACTAGGTAGTGATCAGAAGCATGCCACAGTATATTGACTGGGAAAAAAATTAAAAGTTTTAAGCCAAAAACTACTTTTTCAGCTTTTCATTACAAAATTATTTAGAATAAGTTGCTAAGCTATTTTAAGTTTGTATTTTTATTTTATTTTATTATTATTTTTTGTACACGGAGTCTCACTCTGTCACCCAGGCTGGAGTACAGTGGTGTGATCTCAGCTCACTGCAACCTCCACCTCCCAGGTTCAAGTGATTCTCCTGTCTCAGCTTCCCGAGTAGCTGGGATTACAGGTGCCCACCACCACACTTGGCTAATTTTGTATTTTTAGTAGTGACGGGGTTTCACCATGTTGGCCAGGCTGGTCTCAAATTCCTGACCTCAAGTGATCCACCTGTCTCAGCCTCCCAAAGTGCTGGGATTACAGGCATGAGCCACCATGCCTGGCCTTAAAGTTTTTAATTGTTCTGAATACCTCTATATTTATTTCAAAAGAAAAAAAAATCTTTAAATGGTTGCTGAAAAAGTAAGCTTGAATTAGTGCTGTCACTTGTTAATGCAACCAAAACTTTTTTATTATTGTTTAGGATTTCTGAGTAGCATAAGCAGAAAAAAGTCCATTGGAACGGTTGTGTATTAATATTAAATATGGCATTTAATCTGAGAAGTTGCTGATGATTTGTAAGGAGAAGAATGGTTGTGAAAGAAAGGAACACAGCATATATCTTCACATGGTTTTTTTTCTTTTCCAGTAAAACAATGGGTTGATGTTAAATATTTGTGAATATTTTTTTTCTTTTTAAAAAGTTTGTGGGCTGGGCGCAGTGGCTCACGCCTGTAATCCCAGCACTTTGCGGGGCCGAGGTGGGTGGATCACGAGGTCAGGAGATCAAGACCATCTTGACTAACACTGTGAAACCCCATCTCTACTAAAAATACAAAAAATTAGCTGGGTGTGGTGGTGGGCACCTGTAGTCCCAGCTACCTGGGAGGCTGAGGCAGAAGAATCACTTGAACCCGGGAGTTGGAGGTTGTAATGAGCTGAGATCACTGCACTCCAGCCTTGGTGACAGAGCAAGACTCTGTCTCAAAATAAATAAATAAATTTTAAAAGTTTGTGAAATTATAAATACATGGTTCAAGGGAACATCAGTGAAAGCACCTGTTGTTAGTGGCTGAGTTGTTCATGTACTATACTTTTTTTATGTTATAGAATTTTCTCTTCCTCTCCATTTACAAAGTTTATGAAATGTGTATCTGGAAATGTTTTTGGAACAACTTGTTATTACTATAATGCCAACTTTGTTCATATATTGTGCCTTTTTTTTACATTTTAGGTCTCATGAACTCCGATCCAAGATCCTTTCATTGCAGTTACTTCTATCCATTCTGCAGAATGCAGGACCTGTTTTCAGGACAAATGAGATGTTTATTAATGCTATTAAGCAGTATCTTTGTGTTGCACTCTCAAAAAATGGAGTCTCTTCTGTTCCAGAGGTTTTCGAGCTTTCTCTTTCTATATTTCTTACTTTGTTGTCAAATTTCAAAACACATCTGAAGATGCAAATTGAGGTACGTTTTGCATTTAGGCATTGAAGTATAATATTACTATTGGATATTTCATTTGTTTCACATTAAATCAGATTTGAATACACTGGAAGGGTCTCCAGAATGTGAAATAATTTTTGTATATTGCCATGCACTTCTGTTTTTTCATTCACCTGTTCAACTAACATGTACCAACGAAGTACTAGGCACTGGATAAGCACTAAGAATGCAAAATGAAATAAGATGCAGCTGCTGTCCTCAAGGAACTTGTACTAGTTGAATAAATGGTTCTTGCTCTCTTGAATTAATTTGGTCCTCACAATAGCTTTGCCATTGTCTATGTGGTATATTATAATACATTTGTTTATCTTAAAAGAAAGTTCCAAATATATACTGCATCGCCATTATTTTAAACCATTTATAAGTATTAGGCATTTTAAAAGATGTGATTGAGGGGCATTATATTTTGGGGTTCTGTTTTAGGATATTTGAAAAAAATTAATATTTGCTTTGTACTTTTTTTTTTAAATGTATATATTCCTAAAATTTTCTCCCAGGATCTTTGGAAATAGAATAACAATCATGTGGTTCTAAAATATTGTCAGAGAATTAGTAGAACTAAATTAGGGATTTTTTTAATCGTGTCTGCATGTGTTGTGCAAGTGTACCAGTTTCTTTCTTTCTTTCTTTCTTTCTTTTTTTTTGGAGATGGAGTTTCCCTCTTGTTGCCCAGGCTGGAGTGTAGTGGCACAATCCCCAATCACCACAACCTCCGCCTACTGAGTTCAAGTGATTCTCCTGCCTCAGCCTCCTGAGTAGCTGGGATTACAGGCGTGTGCCACCATTCCTGGATAATTTTGTATTTTTAGTAGAGACAGGGTTTCTCCATATTGGTCATGTTGGTTTTGGGAGGTCTCAAACTCCTGACCTCAGGTGATCCCCCCACCTCGGCCTCCCAAAGTGCTGGGATTATAGGCGTGAGCCACTGCACCCGGGCTTAAGTGGTTTTTTTTTTTTTTGGAAGGTGTACCAGTTTCTGATTTTTTTGTTTTCATCTTCAAATAAAACTTAAAATAGTTCTTATGTTTTACCAATTTAATGAATGCTTTTTTCTTTTTTTTTTTTTTTTAATTTATTTATTATTATTATACTTTAAGTTGTAGGGTACATGTGCATAACGTGCAGGTTTGTTACATATGTATACTTGTGCCTTGTTGGTGTGCTGCACCCATCAACTCATCATTTACATCAGGTATAACTCCCAATGCAATCCCTCCCCCCTCCCCCCTCCCCATGATAGGCCCCGGTGTGTGATTTTCCCCTTCCTGAGTCCAAGTGATCTCATTGATCAGTTCCCACCTATGAGTGAGAACATGCGGTGTTTGGTTTTCTGTTCTTGTGATAGTTTGCTAAGAATGATGGTTTCCAGCTGCATCCATGTCCCTACAAAGGACACAAACTCATCCTTTTTTATGGCTGCATAGTATTCCATGGTGTATATGTGCCACAGTTTCTTAATCCAATCTGTCACTGATGGACATTTGGGTTGATTCCAAGTCTTTGCTATTGTGAATAGTGCTGCAATAAACATGCGTGTGCATGTGTCTTTATAGCAGCATAATTTATAATCCTTTGGGTATATACCCAGTAATGGGATGGCTGGGTCTTATGGTACATCTAGTTCTAGATCCTTGAGGAATCGCCATACTGTTTTCCATAATGGTTGAACTAGTTTACAATCCCACCAACAGTGTAAAAGTGTTCCTATTTCTCCACATCCTCTCCAGCACCTGTTGTTTCCTGACTTTTTAACGATCGCCATTCTAACTGGTGTGAGATGGTATCTCATTGTGGTTTTGATTTGCATTTCTCTGATGGCCAGTGATGATGAGCATTTTTTCATGTGTCTGTTGGCTGTATGAATGTCTTCTTTTGAGAAATGTCTGTTCATATCCTTTGCCCACTTTTCGATGGGGTTGTTTGTTTTTTTCTTGTAAATTTGTTTGAGTTCTTTGTAGGTTCTGGATATTAGCCCTTTGTCAGATGAGTAGATTGCAAAAATTTTCTCCCATTCTGTAGGTTGCCTGTTCACTCTGATGGTAGTTTCTTTTGCTGTGCAGAAGCTCTTTAGTTTAATTAGATCCCATAATGAATGCTTTTTTCAATTTGTTATTTGTTGAAATGTTGTTTTGGTTGTGATGTTGTATGTTTTAAAAATACTCATTTTTATGTTGTCAGTTTTTACCTTCATATTATGTTTGATATACAGGTTATATTTTAATTTTTGTTTATTTTATATTTAATCCTAACTCAAGACTCATAATTCACTAGCTTGATAGAAAGGATAAATTATTTTTCCAGAATTTCACGATGGCTAAAATAGTCATAGTATCCTTTAATGTTAATGTTCTGTAATAGCTATCAAGATTGATTTAGAACATTGTTACGAGAATGAAAATAGGCCTTGGCATTTTAAGTGAAAAGCTTTTTCATTTGGGCCATAGTTTTGGACAGGAAACCATTTTTGGTGCCTATATGATATGTGATGTCAAGTTTTAAGAGTTTGCCATATGTCTGTTAAAATGATACAAGGCATTTAACTAGGAAGAGTTGCCATTTTTAGATCGTTTTTTCCCCCATTATCTGTAGGAACTACAAATAAAAGACAGTTAAAAAACGTTTGGAACTTTTGCTTTTGTAAAAAACCAGAAGTCTTCCATTTGATGATGAGACATTTAAGCTGGCATTAGAAAATTTTGTAATACTTTATGTAGCCAATTACAGATTTTTTTGGACACTGAGATTCTGCTTTTGTAGGTACTGTTTACAGATCTAGATATCAAAAATTATTTAAGTTGAGATTACTATTTTTGCACAGCAAATTCGACTTGGCAAAAATGAATTTGAAAGGAAAAACTTTAAGAAATTTCTTGTGAATTTGTAGATGGTAGATTCTCATTACAAAATTATTGTAATATTCTAATTTTTAAAATTTAGGTTTATTTCACTGTCCCTCAGGGGGAGATAATGAGGATAAAATGAGATAAATATAGATATACTTTCAAAAATGTTAAACACACTCAAATTAAAAATGAGTTGAACGCCAGGTACAGTGGCTCACGCCTGTAATCCCAGCACTTTGGGAGGCCGAGGCGGGTGGATCACCTGAGGTCGGGAGTTTGAGACTAGCCTGACCAACATGGAGAAACTCCATCTCTACTAAAAATACAAAATTAGCCGGGTGTGGTGGTGCATGCCTGTAATCCCAGCTGCTTGGGAGGCTGAGACAGGACAATCGCTTGAACCTGGGAGGCGGAGGTTGCAGTGAGCCAAGATCGTGCCATTGCACTCCAGCCTGGTCAACAAGAGTGAAACTCCGTCTCAAAAAACAAAACAAAACAAAACAAAAACACCTGAACGTGGAGAAAGCCCAGCTATGAAAACCTAAATTTGCAAAACAAAATTAAGATTGTTGTTACATGAAGATTCATTTTATGAGACTATTCACTTCAGAGTTTCTGTGATGTGATTTTTTCATGGGCCTTAAATTATATATCTATTCCAGAAGATACAGTTTATGTACAACTTTTCAGGAAAACATATGTGAAGACAGCATACTTAAGACAGAGCTGTTGTTCCACATACATACATTATAGGTGCTCAATAAATCATTAAAAGGTTGATTTTTTTAGAGCCCCTATTACGATAGGCATAGTATCTTATATTACGGCAATAGGCTTTTGCTTATTAGTGCAATTTAATAAACTGTAGATAACAGCTAAAATTTTTTCTTTCCTCTCTCTTCCAGTCTATGTTATTTATTTCGTTAATCAGAGAATCCCAAAAGTTTTTGATTCATGGCACTGTTAGCGTCTGACTTTTCATGAAAGTTGCACTTAGGCCAGAGGAATACCTCCAGTTCTATGTTCTATTTATTAAGCAGGCAGGGCCAAACAACTTAATGGATATTTGTCTTCACAGCCTACTATCTATTTCAAAGACAATAGTCTGCATAAAGTAAAAGAAAAATAATGTTTTTATTTTATTCTTAACCACACTTACTTACCACTGGGATGTGTGTGCCTATTACAGACTGCACACAGCTTCTTAGATCTTGGGATTGAACACTGTCCCCCTCATTCCTGTACTTCATTGATTTTCGTTCAGTACTTGGTTTTTTGTCATAGCAATGACCAAAACCCAGCTTTGCAGAGATAATGATGTCATTGAAGGGAATGTAGTGTTATCTAATTGAAACCATGAGCAGTCTTTCGAGGTATCCAACAGATGTATCTCCCTCTGAATTTTGCCTCAGAATTTTTTCATGGCACCCTCATGAGTTTGCTACAGCATTCTGGGGTACCCTGATGCAGTTTTTAGGAATTATGGCCATGTTGCCGTAAATATTTATTGAACACCTACTATGTGCTCTGCAATGTGGACGTGATTCTTATCAAGAAAGACCTGGTCATTACTGTCTTCAAGCTTACAGTCTATAGGAGATACTGATATTAAATAAGTAAATACAAGTATGCTGAGTTTTGTGAGAGAAAATCACATTACAGGGGTACGTAATCCAGTTAGGGGGAGATACTATAAATGTGATTTTCTGGATTCATAATGCATATGTTTCATAAATGTTAACATGTTGTTTTTTTCAGTCATTCCTTCTTAAAGTCACTTTTATAGAATACATTTAAATGTGAAAATTCTTATCTGTTAAATTGAAATTTATCTCATTAGATTGATTAACTCATTGCTTGATTATTTGGTGTAAAGAGTAGTGAGAAATAGTTCATATGTAGTTTTCAAACAGTAGAGATTTTCACTTTCGTGAGTAATTAGAAAAATAAAACTGTATGAGACTTAGATTGTTTTTATTGTGTTCATTAGAGTACCAGTTACATTTAAATCTATGAACAGTTAGGCCTCTCAGTACTAGAATGTCTCTGAAAAATATAGCTGATGAACAGAAGTATAAATTATGCTTTTCGAGGGGGATTAAAAAAGCATAAGTTATATTCTGTAAAAGGGTTCAAGAAATTATCACCTGGAGGAACTCTAAATCTTTGCATATTTCTTTTGTAGCAGCTCTGTTGAGAACAAAATACAACAATGTGAATTGCAGTACTGATAACTAGAAGGGCAAGTTTAAGTCACTTACCCAAGATATTTTAGTCCTGAGGTTTCAGAGATGGAACTCAAAAGGAGTTGAACTCCATAGGAGCCTGGGTGCTAATATCTGCTCTACAGCTTTGGGATGTTTAAAAAGGGATCACACATATGAATTATAAACAGTATTTTAAACAGAAGTTTTCTCCTAATCACAGGTGTTCTTTAAAGAAATTTTCTTATACATTTTGGAAACTTCTACCAGCTCATTTGATCACAAATGGATGGTTATTCAAACACTGACGAGGATTTGTGCAGGTATTTTAAATTACCCTCCTTTTTACTATCCCTTTCTTATTATTAGATATTTAAAAGGCCAAATGTACTCACATCCTAGATGTACTTTGTTGAAATTAATGTTATATTGTTACAGATGCTCAGAGTGTAGTGGATATTTATGTAAACTATGACTGTGACTTAAATGCGGCCAATATATTTGAAAGGCTAGTAAATGATCTATCAAAAATTGCTCAAGGAAGGGGCAGTCAAGAACTTGGTATGAGTAATGTTCAGGTAAGAACTTTAAAAACATTTTCAAATTTAAACTTTACCAGGAAAGAGTCATGTATTTTCCTTAAAAGACCTTTTTTAAAAAAAAATGTATTTTTGAATTACTTTGTAGGAATTGAGCCTGAGGAAAAAAGGTTTAGAATGCTTAGTGTCGATTTTGAAGTGTATGGTTGAATGGAGTAAGGATCAGTATGTGAATCCCAACTCTCAGACAACTCTTGGTAAGGTGATATTTTGAGTTGTAATTCTTTGTCATTTTAAGTGAATAATACTTTGCAGGATAGTTGCAGATGCTGTTAAACCAATTTCATGACATATTTATTCATTTAACTGATGAGGAAGCATTCTCTGTGAGTTAAATAACGAGCTTTAAAATTGTGAAAGTTTTAACTTTAATTATCCAAGCTATTTTTTTCTGAATCTTCTTAGAAATATTTTGATTATGTAAAATGAAGCATATTTATGCAACTTTCTTGTATTATAATTATAGAGGAAACGTATAAAAGGCAGTATGTTTTAAGAAGGTTGAATTGTTCATCTGTGTTTGATGTTTACCCTCACTCAGAGAAAAACTCATAGCTGCAGGGCTACACTGGTGTTATCGAAAACAATTCCTCATGAGGAATGAGCTGAGAGCAGAAATCCAGTGGATACTCAGCACTGCAACTGCAAAAAGAACTCCTCCTAATGGTGCAGACTATACACGTACAAATTACAGTGTGTTTTAATATCAAAGTATGTTGTTTATTATGTTTCCTAATAGTTATTTTGTATTAAATAGATATCTAAGCGACATTGAAATGCCTTGCCTTATTCAAGAATTTGTTTGCCCTTACACTTTTTTTTTTCTTTGGTAGAATAATGTACTCTATCAATTTTCTTCTTTCAGGTCAGGAAAAACCCTCAGAGCAAGAGATGAGTGAAATCAAACACCCTGAGACAATAAACAGATATGGAAGTTTAAATTCTCTGGAGTCAACATCATCATCAGGAATAGGCAGCTACAGTACACAGATGTCTGGCACCGATAATCCAGAACAATTTGAGGTCCTAAAGCAACAAAAAGAAATAATAGAACAAGGGATAGATTTGTAAGTGTCACAGCTTAAGAAGAAATGTTACTGAGTATCTCTCTGCCAGTATGGTGCCACCCCTGCCGTGGAAACCTTATAATGAGTAAAATGGAGGATAGTTCTCATGGATCTAATTCACGAGGCTCCTATTCAGCCCCCCATGTTCATTGCAGTCTAGCCCAACTAGATTCCTGTAATGCCCAACCACTCTTGTCATATAAATTAATTTGTCACCATATTATAAGTGCTGTTGATGAGTAACATCTGTGCAATTTTGCATTGTTTAGCTCATTATGAAATCCTCCATTATATTTTCTAATCATGTGACAACTCAAAACATTTAAAATATGAAACTTCTAATAGCTATCAGTACTCCTTTATAGGTTTTACATTTTTTCCCGCTGGGTTACAATTGTACTACTCTTGTTATTGATTTCATTTTTATATGTTGATAAGGTGATCACCTCTCTTTCCAGCCTGGCTAGTGTACCAGATCCTAATCTTGTGAAATCAGTTTTCCCACTAAGCTTTGTGATACCTGCCTGCTTCTGGACTATTTCCTTTGTGAATACCACCATGCTGCCTTCCTTTCTCTTGTTGGCCATCTCTTTTTTCAAAGAGATGCCATAAGGAAAAATGAAATTGCTTGTTGTCTCCATGAATCTAACTATTACAAACTTAAAAATTCCCGTGTGTTCTTACTTGGTTTGCTACTTCTGTAAAGCATTTCTTCCTGATACTTAAGCAGTGCCTTTTTGTGAATGTTCGGGTGTCTTTTTTCTCCAGTGTTAATATGAAAAACAGTTCAACAAAAATTTACATATATTCTATTTTAAAATTACAAAATCTTACAAAATTGCCTCAGGAAATAGCTGTCACTACTGCATTAATTCTGATTGTTCGGTCAGTATTTATTAAAGTCTCATCTGTTCCAGATATTATTCAAGGTCCTGGGGAAACTAGATACATGAAACAGCCCTTCCTTCTGAGGGGCTCTTGGTCTAGTATGTGTAAACAAATATGCGTATTAAAATGCTGCTGGTCACCCAGCAAACACATATTTGGTACTTGGGGCTATTGCCAAGCACCAGGAAGGCACTGGTGCTTGGATTCAAGATTACAGTTTAAACATGAGCAGTTTTTAAAAATAGTGCTGTGTAAGGTTTATAAAAGTGTCATACAGAGTAAGTACTGCCAAGGTACTTATTTTGAAATACTTGAGAAATGAGAAGGAGTAATCAGAGGGCTTCAAAGTGGAAGTCTCCCAGTCCTTCTCTCAGCAGCTGGACTTGCTTTCTGCTTAATATAGCTATTGATGAGAATGCTTTCATGGAGCTGTATTCCTAGTATACTTGTCTACAACTGTTTCATGACACCAGTCTATCCTGTTTGTCTCCTACCTTTTTGACTATGCCATCTCAGTCTTACGGGCTGTTTTTTTCTTTCTTCCTGCATGCATCTTAGCATTGCCAGGTTTCTGTTCCTCAGCCCTTTTCCAACATCAACCCCTTAGTTCTCCTACGAAAACAAAAGACAAATAGAAAAGCCTGTTATTTTTGTATTTCTTATTTATGGTAGTAACCCCAGCATGCTACTAAATTTATAAGCTAAAATCCTGGGAATTAGCTTAGATTTTCCCCTCATAGGATTAGATTCTCGAATCTAATCTGTCACTAAGTCCTGGTGATTCTACTTCCTAATATCCCTGCAATCTGTTCTCTTTTCTCTATCTCCCACCGCTAGTCTTGCAAATCAAATCATCATTATTTATTTCCTCAACTAGTATAATCTTTCAATTGGCTTACCTTTTTCTTTGATTTTGTTCATTCTTCAGTCTTTTCTCACACTTAACTAGAGTAACCTTTCTTGAATGAAAGTCTGTTTTTTCGCTGTCTTAGAGAATAAAACCAAAGCTTCTTTGATTGTATGATAATACCTTCATGATTTGGATCTGCTGGACTCTAAGCTTCATTTCCTGCCACTTTTCTATCTCATCTCACTTTCCAACAATGCAGAACTATTTATTATATAATACTGTCTTATGCTTTTGTGTTTTAGTATGGCCTCCTCCTCTCTGGGATGTTTTTTCTTATTGTTTATAAAAGATATAATTGTTCTTCAGAATAGTTCCACGGTCACCTTTCCCAGGAGATATATTATGACCATCTAAGTTAGTTACTTCCACTGTGTTATTTTCTTACCTTTTGAATACATCTGTTTGTCACAGTTTTACTATTATAATTATTTAAAATTGTGTTTCTTCCTGTAAGTGAGTACTTCTAGGGGTGGTGGGGGGGGTTATGTTTAGCTTAATGAAAAGTGTTTCATTTTATGAATGTTAAGTGGTTATGGTTAGATGAGAACTTGACAAGGGAACCTTTGGGAAGACAGAATCAGGAAGACCATCCCAGATTGAGAGAATGGCATGTGCAGCAGCAGAGGAAAGGGAGGACATCTGAGCACTTGTTCAGCATGGCAGAGCAGAGTGGAGGGGGAATAACAGGAGGTAAGATGAGAGCATTGAGTTGGATCTAAATTACAGAAGGCCTTATTCTCCATGTAAAGGACTTTTTGTCTTGTTCCTCTTGGCACTAGTATGCTAGTGAAGGACTTTAAGCAGAGGAGTAGCATCATCAGATTTCTGTTTTGTAAATAGGACTTTGCAGGCAGCCTGAAGGGTGCATTAGAATATGGGCAACATGAGATGATAGGGAGACCATTTAAGAACTCTTGCAATAGCCCAAATGACAGGTGTTGGAGCACCAAAGTAACGAAAGTAGGGAGTAAATGATCTGTAAACAAAGAGGTAACATTTGAATTGTATCTTTAAACCTGAGGGAGACTCCCCTGTGAATGGAGCAGATAAAAGACAAGCAGAGGAAATAGACTCTGAAAATAGATTTAGGGAATGGGAGCAGAGGAAGGAGAAGGGAGTGAGAGAGAATCTGGAGCTATAAATGAGAAAGGTTTTGTGTGGTCTAATTAATTTGGACAAATGAGCCAAGATGACTTGAAGATTAAGGGAGAATGTATATTCGGAGTACCTCAGAGATACTGTGGGTTCAGTTCCATACCACAGCAGTGAAGTAAATATTGCAATATAGTGAGTCACACAATTTTTTTGATTTCTTAGTGCATTAAAGTTATGTTTATATTGTACTATACTGTCTATTAACCTGCAATCCCCTTATGTCTAAAAAACAATGTACACACATTAATTTAAAAATACTTTATTGCTGAAAAATACTAGTAACCATCTGAGCTTTCAATGAGTTGTAATCTTTTTGTTGTAGAGTGTCTTATCTCAGTGTTGATGGCTGCTGACTCATCAGGGTAGTGGTTGCTGAAAGTTGGAATAACTGTGGTAATTTCTTAAAATAAGACAACAGTAAAGTTTGCTGCCTTGATAGTCTCTTCCATTCACAAAAGATTTCTCTGTAGCATGTAATGCTGTTTGTTAGTATTTACCTACAGTAATATGTCTTTCAAAATTGGAGTCTGTCCTCTCAAAATCTGCTGTAATTTTATGAACTGAATTTATGGAATATTCTAAATCTCTAATTTTCTTTCCACTAGTGTTCACAGCATCTTCACCAGTAGTAGATTCCATCTCAAGAAATCACTGTTTTCACTTGTCTATAAGAAGCAGCTACTCATATGTTAAAGTTTGATCATAAGGCTACAGCAATTCAGTGTCATCTTCACACTTTACTTCTAGGTCTCTTGTTACTTTTACCACGTCTGCAGTTACTTCCTCCACTGATGTCTTGGACTCCTCAAAATCGTCCATAAGGGTTAGAGTCAGCTTCTTCCCAACTCCTATTGATGTTGGTGTTTTTACCCCTCGCATGAGTCACAAATGTTCTTAATGGCATCTAGAACAGTGAATCCTTTCCAAAAGGTTTTCAATTTACTTTTCCCAGTTTCAGTAGAAGTATCTCTCTACATGGCAGCTATAGCCTTATGAAATGTATTTCTTTCTAGACTTGAAAGTTAGCCAGGCATGGTAGCTTACACCTGTAATCCCAGCTACTCATGAGGCTTGAGGCCAGGAGTTTAAGATCAGTGTGCGCAATGTAGCAATACCCCATTTCTTTAAAAAAAAAAAAAAAAAAGACTTGAAATTCAGAGTTACTCCTGAGGAAAGGGCACAATGGCTCATGCCTCTGTAATCCCAGCTTTGGGAAGCCAAGGTGGGAAGATCAGTTTAGTCCAGGAGTTTGAAATCAACCTGGACAGCATAGCGAGACTGCATTTCTACAAAAACAAAGTCACTCTTTCATCCAAGGGCTGCAGAATGGGTATTGTGTTAGCAGGCATGAAAGCAACATTAATCTCATTGCACATTTCCATCAGAGCTCTTGGGTGATCAGGTGCATTGTCAATGAACAGTAATCTCTTAAAAGGAATCTTTTCTTTGAAGCAGTAGGTCTCAACAGTGGGCTTCAAATATTCAGTCATCTATGTTGTAAACAGATGGTGCTGTCATCCAGGCTTTGTTGTGCCATTTCTAGAGTGCAGGCAGAGTAGATTTAGCATGTAATTCTTAAGGACCCTAGGATCTTTGGAATTTTTAAATGAGCATTGACTTGTTAATGTCATCAGTTATATTAGCCCCCAAGAGAGCCAGTCTGTCCTTTGAAGCTTTGAAGCCAGGCATTAACTTCTCCTCTCTTGCTATGAAAGTCATAGATGGCATCTTCTTCCAATAGAAGAAAGACTGTTTTATATATGTGGAAAATCTGTTGTTTAGTGTAACCACCTTCATAAATGATCATAGCTAGATCTTCTGGATAACTTGCTGCAGCTTCTCCATCAGCACTTGCTATCAGACCTTGTGCTTTTATGTTATGGAGACCGCTTCTTTCCTTAAATCTCATGATCCAACCTCTGCTAGCTTCCAGATTTTCTTCTGCAGCTTCATTACCTTTCTTAGCCTTATAGACTTGAAGAGAGTTGGGGCCTTTCTTGGGATTAGGCTTTGCCTTAAGGTAATGTTGTGACTGGTTTGATCTTCTTTTCATACATGAAAACCTTCTCCATATCAGCATTTAGGCTGTTTTATTTTCCTACTTGTGTGTTCACTGGAGTGGCACTTTAAACTTCCATCAAGATCTTTTCCTTTGCATTCACAACTTCATTTGGCGCAAGAGACCTAACTTTCAGTAAGTCTTGGCTTTTGACATGCATTCCTCACTAAGCTCAGTCATTTCTAGTTTTTTATTTAAAGTGAGAGATGTGCGACTCTTCCTTCCACTTGAACACTTATTGTAGGGTTCTTAATTGGCCCAATTTCAGTATTTTTTTGTCTTGGAATAGGGAAGCCCAAGGAAAGGAAGAGAGATGAGGAACAACCAGTCAGTGGAGCAATCAGAACACATATGATTATTAAGTTTGCCATCTTATATGGGCGTGGTTTGTGTCACCCCAAAACAATTACAATAGCATCAAAGGTCACTGATCACCGGTCACAGTAACAGATACAATAATGAAAAAGTGTGAACTATTGTGAGAATTACCAAAATGTGACACAGATACAAAGTGAGCATGTGGTTTTGGAAAAATGGTACTGATAGACCTTCAATGCAGGGTTGCCACAAACCATCAATTTGTAAAAACCACATATCTTTGAAGTGCAATAAAATGAAGTATGCCTGTATGAGATATTTAGTATTCACAGCCTTACTCAAAGTTCGTCTACTACATGGCTTTCTCTCTAATAGTCTCTGTTAGTCTAATTTCCCACTGTCGATATGGATTTAAAAAACGCTTCATACTGTAACAAAAAGTCAGTGAAATGATAGTAATAAGGATGGCCTTCCATATGAGACTTACTTCTATAAAGAAAATAAAGAAAACTTGGCACAGTGTAATTATTTTGTATATTCATATACTGATTTGTATTAAATAAGCTGCTGTTTTTCTGGGTGCTATTAGAAAATTAATTTACTGTGGTTTAAGATCTTTTCTGGGACTACGAATGGTTTTCTATTTTTAATGTTCTTATTAACTTTAACATCATCTAGATTTAATAAGAAACCAAAGAGAGGAATACAGTACCTCCAAGAACAAGGGATGCTTGGCACCACACCTGAAGATATTGCCCAATTCTTACATCAAGAGGAAAGATTAGACTCTGTAAGAATACCATTTTCTTTCTAACCTTTTCTGTAAAATTCTTGGGATTTTTTTTTCTTTTTATTAGAGACAGGGTCTCGCTATATTGCCCAGGCTAGTTTTGAACTCCTGGGCTCAGGCAGTCCTCCTGCCTCAGCCTCCCAAAGTGCTGGGATTACAGGTGTGAGCCACCACGCCTGGCCCCTTTTCTGTAAAATTCTTTTTTAAGTTAATAATACATATTGTGACTCCTTTAAAATGCTTTCCTAAGTATAGAGGTAAGTAAAACATAAACAATAACCTTGGTTGGCTGGGCACAGTGGCTCACGTGTGTAATTCCAGCACTTTGGGAGGCCGAGGCAGGTAGATCACCCGAGGTCAGGAGTTCGAGACCAGCCTGGCCGATGTGGCAAGACCTTGTCTCTAATAAAAATACAAAAAATTAGCTGAGTGTGGTGGTGGGCGCCTGTAATCCCAGCTACTCAGGAGGCTGAGGCAGGAGAGTCACTTGAACCCAGGAGGTGGAGGTTGCAGTGAGCCAAGGTTGCATCACTGCACTCCAGCATGGGCTACAGAGTGAGTCTGTCTCAAAAACAAACAAAAAGAATATTCTTGGTTATAAAATCATCTGTAATTGGCCCTCTGTAGCCATGAGTTCTGTATCCATGGATTCTACATCTGTGGATTCAACCAACCACAAATTGAAAATATTCAGGGGGAATAATGGGTGATTGCATCTGTACTGAATGTGTACAAACTTTTTTCTTGTAGTTATTTCCTAAACAATGCAGAAAACCTATTTACATTATATTATATATTACAAGTAATCTAGATATGGGAGTAGAATATATGGGAGGATGTGCATAGATTATATGCAAATACTATGCCATTTTTTATAAGGAACTTGAGCATCCATGGATTATCCATGCGGGGTCCTGGAACCAATCCCCCACTGATACTGAGTGATGACGTGTGTGTGTGTGTGTGTGTGTGTGTGTGTGTCTGTGTCTGTGTCTGTGTGTCTAAAATATAAATTCTGCTTTTTAAATTTTCTAAACAAAAGAATTTCCTGATATTTTTATGAAGGCAGTTAGTGTGTTTAACTTTAAGCTTTGTGTTTGAAATTGTTAACTCTATAGTCAAAAGCCTGTGGATCTTAACGAAATTTTCTACTTTTTAAGTGACCGTGTGGCGAATGTAAATATCTCATGAAAATCTCAATTTCTGGCCAGGCACGGTGGCTCATGCCTGTAATCCCAGCACTTTGGGAGGCTCAGGCGGGTGGATTACCTGAGGTCAGGAGTTCAACACCAGCCTGAACAAGATAGTGAAACCCTGTCTCCACCAAAAATACAAAAAAAATTAGCTGGGCGCAGTAGCAGGTGCCTGTAATCCCAGCTACTTGAGGTTGAGGCAGGAGAATCGCTTGAACCTGGGGGCAGCAGTTGCAGTGAGCTGAGATTGCGCCACTGCACCCCAGCCTGAGCAATAGAGCAAGACTCCGTCTCAAAAAAAAAAAAAGAAAGAAAAGAAAATATCAATTTCTATCTCTGTTTTTACTTTAGACTCAAGTGGGTGAGTTCCTGGGAGATAATGATAAATTTAACAAAGAAGTCATGTATGCATATGTGGACCAACATGACTTTTCAGGAAAAGACTTCGTTTCAGCCCTTCGTATGTTTCTAGAAGGATTTCGTCTTCCAGGGGAAGCTCAGAAAATCGATCGATTAATGGAAAAATTTGCTGCAAGATACCTAGAATGCAACCAAGGGTAAATAAGGTTCAAATGCTCATTGACTGACTGTTATATCCGAAACACCGTGCTAGGTAGCATCCAAGGATTTATAGATAATAGGACCTAATCTCCTGTTTAGAGAATTTAGATTGTCTACAATCTGGAAGTCATAAAACAAATCCATAAAAAATTATAATGTGAGATACTTAGAAAAATACAAATGCTGTGGGATTTGAGGTGACTTATTTAAATGAATCTATGTAAAACAGTACTTTATAACATGATAAATTTATTTTTCCAGACAAACTCTCTTTGCTAGTGCGGATACTGCTTATGTTTTGGCTTATTCAATTATCATGTTGACCACAGACCTTCACAGTCCACAGGTATGTCTTCTTTTAAGTCAGTTTTACAATAAGTGGTACAAAATAAATACATTATTCTGAATTCAGTAAGTAATAGTTGAAATTTTAGTTTTATTCAGTTAAACCAGTCACCATATTTGGGTATTTAATTTGGGATGGTGAATGTTTTACAAAAGCAACTTCTGGTAGTAATTAAAATCAGACTTTCAGTTATCTATAAAATGTTTCTGTATTTGTCATTCATGATTGACAATTGTATAAAGCTTAAGATAAATTTTAATCTAACAAGACGTTTATAGGTCTTATGTCTACTTGTCACAAGATGGAAAAACACTATGTATAAACCATCTTTCTAAAAAATATAATGTTTCAGGCCAAACGTGACAGGTGGATCACATGAGTCCAGGAGTTAAGACCAGCCTGGGCAACATGATGAAACCCTGTCTCCACAAGATATGCATAAATTAGCTGGGCACTGTGGCATGTGCCTGTGGTCCCAACTACTTGGAGGGCTAAGGTGGGAGGATCACTTCAGCCTGGGAGGCACAAGTCATCCAGTGAGCTGAGATTGTGTCACTGCAGTCCATCCTGGGTGACAGAGGCAGACCGTGTCTCAAAAAAAGAAAAAAAAAAAGTTTCAAACTTCAACAGTAGAGGGATTAGTATAATGAACTCTAATGTACCCATTACCTACCTTCCACAGTTATCAACTTATGGCCGGTCTTCTTGTATCTGTATTTCTTCCCTCCCCTAGATAATTTTGAAGCAGATCTCAGATATCATACCATTTCATCTGCATTTATCTCAGTATGTTTCTCTAAAAGAGAAGTACTCTAATTAAACATAACCATAATACCATCGTACCTAAAAAGTTAATCATAGTTTAAAGATACCTGATACCTAGAAATGTTCATTTCTTTTGCCTCATAAAATTCATATTTCCTTCTTAAATATTAAAGAACTGTCACTTGATTTCTGATATCTACCAAAAAAGTTTGATTTTATAGTTTTAGTATTTTTTGCTTAGTTTCTAAAAACACACATTGACATCCTTGGGTAAAATTACCTTTATAAATTATTTGCAAGGATTTCTTAGTACTTCTAGGGGTAGGTATCTAATGATATTTGTTATTCTTAGGATGTAAAATAAATTACCTACTTTCTAGTCTGAGATGTATTGGAAAAATTAAAATTTATTTGAATTTTGAGATTAACCTTTGCAGTATAGGGATTTTTTGTGTCTGTTTTGAGATGTTTAAAGCAGAGTAGATAAGGAGAGTATATACCAAACCTAAAGTAAGAATGTATACGATTATATACATATGTATATACATATGATTATATATGAAGTTACTCCTGTTTTAAACACAATATTGAGCAACTATGCATTTACCACAAATGTACTTGATTTTATATAGGACTTTTAAAAATTTATTAAAGATTTTAATAATTCAAGATTTGCCTCTCGCATATTATTGGCAGTATAGTCAAAGCAGCTCACCTTCAGGGCTTTTATTATCGAGCGTGATGACTTTTACTCTATGGCTTTATAAGGTAGTTCATAGTTGGGATTTTTTTGTATTTGTGTTTTTTGTATTTTTACACCAGAATTTTCAGTCTAATTTTTTCATTTGATTTTTCAATCTAAACTAGAATATTTTAACCTGGGTTTACATACATTTGATTTTAAAAGGCTATGCTTTAAAAGACATTTGGTTCTATAAATGAATAAGCAGTATTATATGCACCTGTGCAATGTCTTCCTATACATATGTACATACTTATGTGATTTTGAAGAAATATTAAAAATTCCTTTTATATCTTTTCATAAGTACCCAGACTGTGAAAAGTTTCTAAGGACATAACAGTTAGGGAGCATTACCTTCACAACAGTGTCCCGTCTTCAGTGTAACAGTGCCTGTTTGCAGAACACGTGCTTGAAGTCCTAGTCTAGCGGTGGCAACTGCTTGTTGTCCAACTGTTCCTTAGTAGCTTGCTGCCTGGTGTCATGTGCTGCTATGCAGCCTGCAGCTGTAGAACAGCTTGTGAGTTTCTATGAAGCTAAGTAATCTGTTAGAAAATTGTACCCATGATTTTGGCCTCAGTTGATTTAACTAACTATAACAAATGACAACATTTTAAAATACAAATAACTTTAAAGGAATTTCTTAAAACTAATTCTCATTCTTAGTTCTTTTCAAACTTAAAATATAGATGGATTTTAACAAGCTGTTTATGTTCCCTTTTCACCCAGAATATTTATAGTTATGCTATTTTTTATGTAGCGTGTGAGAGAGTCAGTGATTTTAAAAAAAATTTTAGGCATATTTAGAACACACTTAATTTTTGTGTATACAATAAACATCAGTAGTAACAACTGGCTTGAAGTGATTTAAACACTAAATAAGGCACAGCTTAATACAAGCACATGAGGATAAAAGTCAGGAGTAGAATATTCCATAAAAGATGTCAGGAGAAGAAAAGTCAGATTTTGTTTTATACAGCTTCAGACTCCCACTGTGACAGAAGTGTTCTGTGTGAAGCAGTGTGCTTTATTTTGGGGACCCGAAAGCAAAGTATTCTGTACACCCACGTATGGGATCCCTAACCCAGATCCAGAGACAATAAACTGCTACTTCAGATTTTCCGTCAAGACTTTTAGGCCGGGCGCGGTGGCTCAAGCCTGTAATCCCAGCACTTTGGGAGGCCGAGACGGGCGGATCACGAGGTCAGGAGATCGAGACCATCCTGGCTAACACGGTGAAACCCCATCTCTACTAAAAAAAAATACAAAACACTAGCCGGGCGAGGTGGCGGGAGGCTACTCGGGAGGCTGAGGCAGGAGAATGGCGGGAACCCGGGAGGCGGAGCTTGCAGTGAGCTGAGATCTGGCCACTGCACTCCAGCCTGGGCCATAGAGTGAGACTCGGTCTCAAAAAAAAAAAAAGACTTTTCTTTGCTTCTGATTGACATAATGCTAAAACATTTTACCATGCTTAAAATTTCCAGGTGATTTTAATCTTCCTTTACTTCTTACTGGCAGCAGTGTGTAGTCTTTTATTTTGTTATTCCTGGTGTGTTTTTTAAGCATTCACCTGAACTTTCGTTAAAAAAGCTTCTTTCTTTCATTTTTTTTTTTTTTTTTGTGCCAGGACTCAAGATGAGTTTTTGAAGTTGTAAGATGATAGCATTTTATCCCATTAAATGATACGTTACGCTTGAAAACTTTCATGGTAATATTTTTACATTTTTGTAGGAAAAGCACTCCTGCCTCCCTTTCTGACATGTTAGAAAAATCTGTTTGCAGAATTATCTGAAGTAAATAAGTGTATGTATCCCAGTTACATTTTCTGAAAGTTTTGGTTCCTCTGTACTTCTGCTTTTTGTTTGAGACAGGGTTTTGCTATGTTGCCTAGGTTGGACTTGAATTCCTGGGCTTGTGCCATCCTCCTTCCTCAGCCTCCTGAATAGCTGGGACTACAGGCACATAACACCACACTCTCTATAGTTATTTTTGCAAGCTTCTGATGACTCGCTTGATTATTTTTCTGTGTACTTTCATGTAAATTTACAGGAATCATATCTTAAGAGTTTACCTTAAGTTCTTTGTGGAAGGTGGTAGAAATATACTTAATTAAATAAATATCTTTTCAGAGACATCATATAAGATGTAGAAATATATTTAATTAAATAAGTGTCTCTTCAGAAACATCACATAAGACTTCTCGGTTTTTTCTGTCTAGGTTTCTGGAGGTAAAGTGTAAACATTTTGTCTGTGCTAGTTCCCAAGTTTGTTAATAGGCCTACCATCTTACAGACTCCAAACTTACAGACTCCAAACTTGTATTCCACAGCTTTATCAAGGTGCAAAAGGCATTTCTGTTTAGGGTACTCTTACACAGGACAAAACATTCCAAGGATACTTTGTACAGATCACCTGACATAATTCAGTTACCACAGTGACTCAGTCAGAGAGATTGTTATCTGGTTTTAAATAAATCTCAAGTATTGTTATGTTTATACCCATTGTATATAAAGTCAACTTTAAATTCATTAACAGCACATTTATGTTCTTCTAAACTAAGATTTGAATGTTTTCGATACCTTTGTTTCCAATAATTGTCATGGCCCTATTAAGAGATTGCAGGAGCTCTTAAACGTTGGGCAAAAACAAATATTTTCATTGTTCAACTTCCCTCCTTTCTGGTTGCACATTACTCATGTCCACCTCAGAGCGTGAATTAGTTTATGCCAGAATGGGTCTTTTCTGTATTGCCTTCGTTTTCTGTGATTTTTTTTTCATTTTTATCTATATTTTGTTGAATGTTTTCCAGTTTCGATCCTCAAAAGTATTTACAAAATCTCTTATGTAAATATTCATATCCTTAAAATACAAGTGTAACCTTTATGTTAATTTTTAGGAATTATAATGGTTTTTCATATTTAGGTGAAAAATAAAATGACAAAGGAACAGTACATTAAGATGAATAGAGGTATCAATGACAGTAAAGACCTTCCTGAAGAGTATCTATCAGCCATCTATAATGAAATAGCTGGGAAAAAGATATCAATGAAAGAAACAAAAGAACTAACAATCCCTACAAAATCAAGTAAACAAAGTAAGTATCTAAATTAATTGAATTCTGATTGTTCAAGGGGGAAAATATGGGTTCCTAAGAGTTTTTCACTTATGGTCAGGTGTGGTGGTTTGCATTTATAGTCCCCAGCTACTCAGGGAGGCTGAAGCAGAAGGATCACTTGAACCCAGGAGTTCGAGACCAGCATAGGCAATATAGCGAGGTTCTTGTCTCTAAAAAAGAAAAAACTTTATAATTTAAAAGAGAGTTTTTCACTTTATTTAGAATAAAGTAACCTTAGAAATACTGTTAAGAACCATGTTTTGATGAGAAATATTATAATAGAGTTTGGTGATGTGATTGTATTTTTTTCCCCACATTCTGAAGAAAGATAACACTGACCAGTGATTAGTGGAAAATGGAATACATTATATGCATGTGTCAGTGTGCATTTAATATAGCGGATCCATTTAGTAGTTAACCCCAGCAAGGATTTGGAGGTCATAAAGAGTAGTTAGACTCAATAGTCAGGCTTCAAGACCCTTATCATTTTTTCTTCTTCCTCATCATCTTCAAGCGATATATTTCCATTTGTTCATCTTTTATTACACATAAACGGAAGCTGAAAGTAGGGATGATTGGAAGAGGTGGGGAGACTTCGGATCAGGTGAGAGCTCATAGAGTTAGAAATTGCTACCTCAAACAGACCACAAGTTATATCACTATAGAGTCCCTAGATCTAACTAGCACCAGGAGGCACCTGTGAACCCAGCCCCCTTCTAGACACTCTGTACCTGTGGACAGTGGTAATTAAGTTTGAGCTGAAATCTGACTACAGGAATGAGATGAGGGTAATGGCTCAAGAATATAACAGTAATATAGAAAGAGGATTCTTGCATTTCTGAGCACTTCCACTTGGAACTAAAATCTCAAGTTTAAACAAAGTACAGTAGTAAAATCCAAATGGCAGGAGAAAAGAATATTATATATTGTATCATCCTCATATCCCTCTTTTTCTGTCCTATTTTATATATGGTGGTAGGAAATAAGAGAAGCTGGAAATGGGAAGGAGATGGTGGTGTGCTGAAAACACCAAAATTACCCTGGAGTTAAGTTATGGCCAGTTGTTTTCTTGTTAACTGAGGAGCTGTCATTCAAACCTGTGTGGTACAAAGATGCCATTGCCTCTTTTTTTTTTTTTTTTTTTTTTGAGACGGAGTGTTGCTCTTGTTGCCCAGGCTGGAGTGCAATGGCATGATCATGGCTCAGCGCGATCTCGGCTCACCACAACCTCCATCTCCTGGGTTCATGCGATTCTCCTGTCTCAGCCTCCCAAGTAGCTGGGATTGCAGGCGTGTGCCACCACACCTGGCTAATTTTTTTGTATTTTTAGTAGAGACCAGGTTTTTCCATGTTGGTCAGGCTGGTCTTGAACTCCTGACCTCAGGTGATCCACCTGCCTCGGCTTCCCAGAGTGCTGGGATTACAGGCATGAGCCACCACACCCGGCCAGATACCATTGCATTTTACCGCTCTACTCTTCTCCAGTTCCATGTTTGGGTTGTTTCCGTAATAATTTTATTGTGACAGTTGTACCTACTCGTTTCCCTTGTCATAGGTTTTCCACTTATTCCTGACTCCCAGTCTAGGTATTTATTTTTTGAGGCAAAATTCATATAACATAAAATTAGCCATTTAAAAATGAATAATTCAGCGGCATTTAGTACATTCACAGTGTTGTGCAACTACCACCTCTAATTCCAAAATATTTCATTATCCCAAAATGAAACTCCAAACCCATCAAGCAATTACTCCTTATTCCCTCTCCCCCAGCCCCTGGAAAATACCAGTCTACTTTCTATTTCCGTGGATTTTACCTATTCTGGATTTTTCATATAGGTGGAATCATACAATATGGGATCTTTTGTGTCTTGCTTCTTAGGATTATTTTTAATTAGTGTTGGTGGTGTTTATTATTTGATAGTAAAACATCAAAATAGAATTCTTAAATGTTTTATATTTTAAATGCTGATAGTGTTTATTGTTTCAGATGTAGCCAGTGAAAAACAAAGAAGACTTCTGTATAACTTAGAAATGGAGCAGATGGCCAAGACAGCTAAAGCACTCATGGAGGCCGTGAGCCATGTTCAGGCACCTTTTACAAGTGCAACACATTTGGAGCATGTGAGGCCCATGTTTAAGGTTAGAATTTTCAAGTAACATCTGATTGCAGTGTACGGTTATATATAACCGTACATTTATAATATTTTTAAGTTAAGGAAGGGATACAGTGATATAACACATTAGTGTAGACCTATTGAGGTGAAATTCATATAACATGTTATTTAGGACATAGTAGATACAAATTTTCTATTACTTAGAACAGGAAGAGTTACTCACTATAATTAATAGTTGTGTAATCCTGGGAATTAAGAATAGAAAAGTTTTGGAGAATGATCGTTAATCCTTGGCCCGATTTTCTCTAAATTAGTCATGCTTAAATCTTTGGAGTTAACTCACATTTCAAATGATCATGAGGCTCTTGTTTTCTTCAAGTGCTTTGGCCCCAGGATCTTATATCAGGCTTCTGAGTATGCCTGGGGCCCGGAAAGTAGGGTAAGGAACGGAAGAGAATATTATTTGTTTGTGGGTTGATTTAGTGAGAATGATACTTACTCTTTAAAATTTGATTTCCCATTCCTTCTTCATTCTCCATCCTTTCTCCAAATTCCAGAATGAGTAAGCAGTGCATTACAAGAGTTGTAGCAAAGTGGAGTGGTGTCTAGTTAAGTTTGAAAAGAGAAAGTTGGTAAAGTATATTCCTGTTCATGAGATCATATGGCAGGATAATCTATGGAGGCTAAAGATCATAATCTGATGCTTACTCTGATTCTAACTACACGTATGTGTGAGTAGTAAAAGATGACTACGGGATTCTTGTGCTTCCTTTTAGCTCCAAAATTTTGTAAGTACTTCTACCTCTTCTTCAAGGTCCATGTGATACACTGTTTCTAAACGTTGATGAAGAATCATGAGATGAGAGTGAGCTTTTATGATCTGTTCTCTGGATTTGTCGTAGTTTATTTAAACATCCTCCAAACTAGAATTAACAATCTTTTCCCTCAATGCCATTTCTGCTACCACAGTGCTACTCCAGACACCCTCATTTCTCCCTCTGCTTACTGTGGCATTCTCCTAACAGGCATCTTCATTTCTACTTTTTCACTCCTCTTACCCATTTATAAAGACCAGAGTGATCTTTTTAAAATATCAAATGAAATGCCAGTTTCTTACTTAAAGCTTTTTATTGGCTTTGCATGATACCATGAAACCTGACACACCGTTGGTGTCTGTAGACTTTCTGTGATCTGGCTCCACCTGCCTCTCCAATTTCATCACCAGATCTCTTCTGTCTCTTACTATGCCGCAGTCACACCAGCATTTTTTTGGTTTCTAGAACATCTTAAGTTATTTTCTCTTCAGGGCATTCATATGAGGTATATCCTTTGTCTAGAATGTTCTTTCCTTCTTTGCGTGAATAGTTTCCAGTTTAAATATTACCCTCTCAGCCAGGCATGGTGGCTCACGCCTGTATTCCCAGCACTTTGGGAGGCTGAGGTGGGTGGATTGCTTCAGGTCAGGAGTTCAAGTCCAGACTGACCAACATGGTGAAACCCCATCTCTACTAAAAGTACAAAAATTAGCCGGGCTTGGTGGCGTGCACCTGTAGTCCCAGGTACTTGAGAGCTGAGACAGGAGAATTGCTTGAACCTGGGAGATGGAGGTTGTAGTGAGCCAAGATCAGGCCACTGCACTCCATCCTGGGTGACAGAATGAGACTCTGTCTCAAAAATAAAAATAAATAAATATCACCCTCTCTGAGAGTTCTGCACTGTCCCCTCTAATCTAAACTAGGTCCCTAATTCATAATATTCTATGCCTTTCCTTCAATATATCTATAGATTTATCTATCCATCTGTCTGTCTGTCTGTATGTCTGTCTATCTGTATGTATGTCTGTGTACAGATTTGTGTGCTCCTCAACTTACGATGGGATTATGTCTCAATAAACCCATTGTTTAAGTGGAAAATGTATTTAATACACCTAACTTACAGAACATTATAGCTTAGCCTTGCCTGCCTTAAACATGCCCAGGATAATTACCTTAGCCTACAGGTGGGCAAAATCATCTAACACAAAGCCTGTTTTATGCTACAGTACTGAATATCTCATGTAATTTATTGAATGCTATACTGAAAATGAAAAACAATAGTTGTATGAATATATTGTAAAGTCAAAAAATGGTAAATTGAACCATTGTAAGTTGGGAACTGTCTGTATATACATTATTTATATACATTTATGGGGTAAGGAACTACATCTGTTCATTTTTCCCAACATCGATCATAGTTCCTGGCTTGTGTTAAGAACTCAATGAATAAACATTGGCTGGGTGGAAGGAATGAATGATATATTCCTGGAATGCAATGTATAATATTAAGGGATATACACTTTTTTTGAGATAAAGCAAGGACAAAAACAAAGTTTATCTTGTTATGAACAAGATACAGTGTCACTTATAGTCTTCAAACATTATTGCACTTTATCATAATTTGACAAAGCATTCATGAAACAATCTGTAGACTAGTTTTAACAGACAAATAACATCTGTAAGCAGGCATGACTGTCCTAAATTGTTTACTACGTGTGAATTTTACAAACATTATTTATAGTAATGGTAGTGGTGGCGCTGGAGAGTATTGCACCTTCTCCAAACTGCACAGTGAGAACCACTATTCTGTGAGATGTCTCTTCACTTTGTTGATTGTTTCCTTTGCTTTGCAGAAGCTTTTTAACTTGATATGTCCATTTGTCCATTTTTACTTTGGTTGCCTGTGCTTGTGGGGTATTCCTCAAGAAATCTTTGCCCAGATTAATGTCCTAGAGAGTATCCCCAGTGTTTTCTTACGGTAGTCTCATAGTTTGAGGTCTTAGATGTAAGTTTTTAATCCATTTTTATCTGATTTTTGTATATGGCAAGATAAAGGATAAAGGAGTTTGATTCTTTTGTATATGGATATCCAGTTTTCCCAGCACTGTTCATTGAAGAGACTGTCCTTTCTCCCAATGTATGTTCTTGGCACCTTTGTAAAAAATGAATTCAGTAGATGTATGGATTTATTTTTGGGTTCTCTATTCTGTTCCAGTGATCTACATATCTCTTTTTATGCCAGTGCTATGCCATTTTGGCTACTATAGCTCTGTAGTATAACTTGAAGGCAGGTAATGTGATTTCTTCCAGTTTTGTTCTTTTTGTTCAGGATAGCTTTGGCTGTTCGGGTCTTTTTTGATTCAATATAAATTGTAGAATTTTTTTTTTCTATTCCTATTAAGAATGTCATGGTGTTCTATAGATTGCTTTGGGTAATATGGACATTTTAGCAATACTGATTCTTCTAATCCATAAACAAAATATCTTTCAATTTTTCTGGTGTCCTCTTCAGTTTCTTTCATCACTGTTCTATAGTTTTCATTGTAGAGATCTTTCACTTCTTTGGTTAATTTTTAAAATTTCTTTCTTAGATTGTTCACTGTTGTCAAATAGAAATGCTACTGAATTTTGTATGTTGTTTTTTGTATCCTGCAGCTTTATTGAATTTATCAGTTCTAATAGTTTTTTTGGTAGAGTGTTCAGGCTTCTCTGAATATAAGATCATATCACCTGCAAATAGGTAATTTGACTTCTTCCTTTCCAGTTTGGATGTCTTCTATTTCTTTCTCTTTTCTGATTGCTCCAGCTAGTTCTTCCAGTACTTTGTTGAATAACAGTGGTGAAAGTAGGCATCCTTATTATGTTTCAGATGTTAGAGGAAAGGCTTCCTGTTTTTCCCTTTTCAGTACAATACTAGCTGTGGTCTGTTGTATATGGCTTTCATTATGTTGAGGAATATTCCTTGTATACCTACCTTTTTGAGAGTTTTTATCATGAAGGGATGTTGAATTTTATTAAATGCTTTTCGAGCATCAGTTGAAATGATCATATGGTATTGTCTTTCATTCTGTTGATATGATGTATCACATTGATTAATTTGTGTATGTTGAACCATCCTTGCATCCCTGGGATAAATCTCACTTGGTCATGATTAATAATCTTTTAAATGTGTTGTTGAATTTGGTTTGCTAGTATATTGTTGAGGATTTTTGCATCCATGTTCATCAGTGATATTGGCCTGCAATTTTTTTTTTTTTAATGTATCTTTGCCTGGTTGTGGTATCAGGATAATACTGGCCTTGTAGAATGAGTTTGGAAATACTCCCTCCTCCTCTGTTTTCAGAATAGTTTGAATAGGATTGGTATTAGTTCTTTAAATGTTTGGTAGAATTTAGCAGTGAAGCCATCAGATCCCACGCTTTCCATTGCTGGGAGACTTTTTATTATGGCTTTGATGTCATTGCTTGTTATAGGTCTGTTCAGGTTTTGAATTTCTTCTTGGTTCAATCTTGGTAGATTCTGTGTGTCTAGGAATTTATCCATTTCCTTTAGATTTTCCGGTTTACCGGCATTTAGTTGCTCAGAGTAACCACTAAGAGAATCCTTTGAATTTCTGTGGTATCAGTTGTAATGTCTCCTTTTTCATCTCTAATTTTATTTACTTGTGTCTTCGGTCTTTTTTTTCTTAGTCTTGGTTAAGGTTTGTCAAGTTTGTCTATCATTTCAGAAAACCAACTTTTTGTTTTGTTAATGTTTTGTATTTTCAAAATTTCAATTTCATTCATTTGTGCTCTGATCTTTATTTTCTTCTACTAATTTTGGGTTTGATTTGCTCTTGCTTTTCTAGTTCTTTAAGATGCATCATTAGGTTGTTTATTTGGAGTTTTTCTTCTTTTTTGATGTAGGCACTAATAGCTATAAAATTCGCTCTTAGTACTACTTTCACTATATTCCATAGGTTTGGGTACGTTGTATCTTCATTATCATTTGCTTCAAGAAATTTTTCAGTTTTCTTCTTAATTTCTTCATTGACCCACTGGTCATTCAGGAGCATATTCTTTAATTTTCATGTGTTTGTATTGTTTCTAAAATTATTCTTGTTATTGATTTCTAGTTTTATTCCATTGTAGCAGAGAAGAGGCTTCATATTGTTTCAGGTTTTAAAAATGTTTTCAGATTTGTTTTGAGTCTTAACATATGGTCTGTCCTC